TGATAGCTCGGGAGGTAAGGCTAATCGATACGCGACTTCGCCTACTCGCTCAAGAACTTCGAACGGGCCAATGAATCGAGGGTGCAGCTTCCCTCTCTTCCCGAATCGAACGACTACGCGAATAGGACGAACTCTATGAAAAGCTAGCTCTCCAACCTCGAACTGAATACCTCGTAGATGATGATCGGCTGAAGATTTCTGTCGACTCTGAGCTGTCTTGAGTCTCTGCCGGATCAACTCGACCTGATCTGCTGTCTCCTCGATCAATTTCGGGCCGAGTACTCGTCGCTCTCTGACATCGTCCCAATAAAGAGGGGATCGACACTTGCGACCATAAAGTGCCTCGTAAGGAGCCATCTGAATAGAAGAATGATAGCTGTTGTTGTACGCGAACTCGGCGTACGGCAACAACGACTCCCACTTAGCACCCTTGTCAACAACCAAAGCGCGAAGCATATCCTCAAGCATCTGAATGGTCCGCTTGGACTGACCATCTGTCTCCGGATGGTAGGCTGAACTGAACTCTAGCTTCGTGCCCATCGCCTTGTCTAAACTGTGCCAGAATCTACTGACGAATCTGGGATCTCTGTCTGGTACAATAGTAACGGGCACTCCGTGGAGTCGGATGATCCCACGGTATATATCTCAGCCAACTTATCCAAAGACATCTTCATCGAAACGAGTAAGAAATGAGCGACCTTAGTCAATCTGTCGACCACGACCCAGATAGCATCGTGATGTTCAGACGACCTCGGTAATCCCGTGACGAAATCCATTGTGACTTCCTCCCATTTCCACCTCGGAATCGGCAGTGGTTGCAGGAGGCCGATCGGACTCTGATGTTCGACTTTGACTTGCTAACAGGTAAAACATCTCCTGACGAACTCATCGACGTCCTTCTTCATTCCGCGCCACCAGAACGACCCTTTCAGGTCATGATACATCTTCGTGCTCCCGGGATGGGCTAAGTAGGGTGCGGTAAGAGCCTCTGATAATATCTCCTTCCGCAACGCCTCGACTTTCGGGACCACGATTCTGCCTCTGAACTTTAAGGCTCCGTCAGAACCCAACTGAAAACCCTCGACACCTCCGGCGCGGACTTTGGCCTCCATGACTCGAACGAACTTGTCAGAATCCTGTTCCAGCCGGATTCTCCCTCTCACCATCGGCTGAAGCTGCATAGCACTGATACTGGCACCAACACTCCCCGAAATAGCTGTGGGAAGTGCGTCGACCGCCTGAAGCTGCATCCGGGCGAACTCCTGAATTAGAGGACTCTGCTGAGTAACGATGTACGTCAAGTCACCCTTCACCTTTCGGCTTAGGGCGTCCGCAACGACGTTCGCCTTCCCCGGATGGTACTGAATCGAGCAATCGTAATCCTTGACGAGCTCGAGCCAACGGCGCTGTCTCATGTTAAGCTCCTTCTGCGTCAAAATGTACTGCAGGTTCTTATGATCTGTGAAAATCTCGCAACGTCCGCCGTAAAGATAATGTCGCCAGATCTTGAGAGCATGGACAACTGCGGCTAACTCCAAGTCGTGCGTCGGATAGTTCTGTTCGTGCGGCTTGAGCTGACGTGAAGCATAGGCAACAACCTGGCCGTCCTGCATAAGTACACATCCCAGTCCCTGCTTCGAAGCATCACTAAAAATAGTGAAACTCCGAGAAGGATCGGGAATAGTCAACACCGGGGCTGAAGTTAATCTCTTCTTGAGCTCCTGAAAGCTCGCCTCACAACGATCAGCCCACTCGAACTTCACAGACTTCCTCGTCAGCTGGGATAGTGGGAGGGCAATCTTAGAAAAGCCCTCGATGAACCTGCAATAATAGCCAGCTAAACCGAGAAAACTGCGAACCTCGGACGGACTCTTCGGTGTCGACCAGTTCTGCACAGCTGAAACCTTAGAAGGATCCACCTCGATACCAGACTGAGTAATCACATGACCCAGAAAAGCTACTCGTTGGAGCCAGAACTCGCATTTGGAGAATTTGGCGTACAACTTTTCTCGTCTGAGGGTTTCGAGAACCACCCTCAGATGCTCCTCGTGCTCCTTCTGGCTTATCGAGTAGATAAGAATATCGTCAATAAAGACAATAACAAACTGATCGAGGTAGGGATGGAAAATACGGTTCATCAGGTCCATGAAAACCGCTGGAGCATTCTGAGGCCGAATGGCATGACAACGAACTCGTAGTGGCCGTAACGAGTCCTGAAAGCGGTCTTAGCGATATTTGACTCCTTAATCTTCAGTTGGTGGTAGCCTGATCGTAGATCGATCTTTGAAAATACACAGGCTCCCCTCAATTGATCAAATAATTCGTCGATCCTGGGAAGCGGATACTTGTTCTTTATCGTTAACCGGTTAAGATCCCGGTAGTCGATACACATGCGCATGGATCCGTCCTTCTTCTTGACAAAGAGAACGGGTGCTCCCCTCGGTGACACGCTCGGTCGGATGAAACTGAGTCGTAATAACTCCTGAATCTGCGCCTTAAGCTCCTGCAACTCCTTAGGCGCCATACGGTATGGGGCTTTGGACACTGGACCGGCGCCTGGAATGAGATCGATAGAGAACTCCACCTGCCGGCTAGGCGGTCCTCCTGAAAGCTCGTCTGGGAACACGTCCACAAACTCACGAACAACCGGGACATCGTGAGGTGATCGTGCTTTCTGAGAATCATCGACAAGGCTCACCAGATAACCCTGGCAGTTTCCTCGTCGTAGCAACTTGGTAGCTTTCGCCATTGAAACGACATGAGGTAAGGAACGATTCTTGCTGCCAAATAAAGTGATCGACTCGTCTCCCAGAAGATAAAGAGTAATCTCCCGGTCATGACATCTGATATCTGAATGATAAAAAGATAGCCAATCCATCCCGAGAATGAGGTCAAAGTCTCTCATCTCAAGAACATACGCGTCGGCAGACAATGAACGATCACCGATGGAAAGGCTGAGATCTGAAGCTCTAGCTGAGGTTACTATATTTTGTCCCGAGGCTAAACTCACCTCGAG